AACCCTGTCTATCTCTTCAGTCATTAGATTTGGAGATATTGCTGGGTAGAAATTAAAGAATGTATGTGTATATTACCTTCAACTATTAAATATTAAAAGTTGTAAATCACTTGCAGAATGTGTGGCTCACATTATGCTATCGAATTACATTACCCGCAACCTATTCTGAGCTGCTTGCATGCGTGCCTTGTGAAAGATTTATTATATTATTTATTGTACCTAATTTAACCTAAAGTGTTTACTATTTTTACATTTTGTTACTTTTATAATAATAATAAATAATCACATGAAAACAAGAAATAAAGTACTTACCTGGGCTGTTTTTTTCTGCTGTTGACTGTCTTTGAAACTTAACCTTACCTTTTTAAACTACTACTTTAAATTTTCTATTTAATTAAATAATGCACCAAAGAATACAGAATAATACCATGTAAAAAGCAGACAATATCTTATAACTATCACAATTTTTCTGTCTTTCTAATTGTGGAACACGAGCTGTTAAATGTTGAGCTTAGCTAATTAATGTGTTTCTTGTAAGAATAAAGTTTGAACTGGAAGCGAAATAGACAATTCTCTGTACATAAAGCAATATAATATGTTGTTTGATAGATTAACAAATTGGATTTCTATTGGTTATAAGTAATATAGTATTAAATATCAGATAAAATTACTGGCAATTTGTGAAAGAGAGGGTGTGACAATGGGACATGACAAGAGGGGTCTGATTTTCTAATTTATGGCTCTGTAACCAAATAAGATCAAAAGCTATAAAATTATGCTGTCTGAAAAAATAATATTATAAAAAATAATTTATATTAAATTCCATAATTCTCAGAGAGATGGTAAATAAATTAAACAAGACGGAAGACTGAGAGCAGATGTCACAACTCTCATACTAGAGGAAATTGCTTTTTTAATATTTCCTTATAAACTTAAGAACTTAAAACTTATATAATATTACAATTAGGATTATTAATCATGTTTTGATGACAAATTTATTCTTATACCCTGATAACAAAGTAACTCAGTAAAACCTCATGATGTGTAGAAAAGGATGCAAATATGGAAAGAGTTAAACAGCTTTCATGTAAAATTAACATTAGGAACTTAAAAAATACAACACTTCAAATTGTGGTATTGTTGAGGTAAGCTGATTTCCACAAAGAATATTAGACAAGTCTGCTTTATAAAGGGAAGATTGGCAAGATAAATCGTGAAGTAATGATGAATTTTAGTTAAACTGACTAAGTTTAAACAAAGAAGTAGAGAGACTGGAAATGATGTGTGAAATAAAATGAAAGCTATCTATTTATTTGAAATGACAAAAAGACAGCATACATACTTGCATTAGACACTGGGCAAATAGGTTCATGAATCAACTAACTCTCTCTCCACTGGGCTCAGTCAAATTGACCAACCATGTGACAATTTTGTACTTGTTATATTTTTCAATACTACTAACTTTTAATATAGTATGTGCATCTTCACAAAATTTGGCAGACTTTTAGTAGACATGTCTTTTACATAAAAAAATCAGATATTTTTCAATAAAGATTTGTACATGAATATAATCAAGTCTTTTTTTTACTAGTCCGAGTGCAAAGTGATTTTTATGTTAAGATTAAAAATACTTTCTTCTTCTCAAAAGGCTCAAATTTCATTTTTGTAATCTTTAAAATCTCGTAAATACATTTCAAAAACTTTTTTTTACAGTAAAACTTATTTTATCTCTTATTTTTTCAACCCTAACTCTATACAAGGTTGTTCAATTTGACAAACTTCGTAATCACCAAAATAATAATAATAATACAATAAACCTAAATTATCCATTTTTCTTTCTAGAATGACTTCAAATTGTAACATAACATTACATCTTTTATCCAAAGTAGCTTCAAACTTTTAAAAATATACATTTATTTATAATTAAATTTTAATGTTTCATTGCCCTTTGAACCATATCTAACTACTACTTGTGCCATTATCAGTTGGAGAATGTGTGGCTCACATTACACTATTGAATTACATTATCCACAAGCTACTCTGAGCTGCTTGTGTGCGTGCCTTGTGAAAAATTTTTATTATATTATTTATTTTACCTAAGCTAACCTTAACTAACCTAAAGAGTTTCCTATTCTAGAATAGTAAATAAAGAAGTAAAGCAAACAATTATCTCTTCTAGTTACGACCTTTGTACTTGGTTGGTTGCTGCTTGATGTAAGTTGCTAAGCCTTTAAAAATTTTGCACGTGGAGGATATGAAACAAAATATTTTTTTTTT